ATCTGGTCATCTCCTCCGACAGGTCCTCTAGCACAACCACCAAAACAAGTTGAAAAACAAAAATAAGAAGATATAGTAGAGAGGAGATACTCGAGGATCGGACCCGACACAAGAGGAGTCGCCATGTCCTCTAACACGAAACAAAAACCACCAAAACAAGCTGAAAAAGATCTAATAAAAAGAAGATATTCGATGGTCGTCGGGCAACGATCAAAACAAACCAGCGGGAGGACTGGAAGCAACAAAGACAATTTTGGGCGTGTTTTTGTAACTTTTTCTATTATTTTGAGTTATAAGTCTAATCAAGCGTTTAATTAATAAAAATGATTTACCAATAATGCCAATATTATTCCATCTATAAAGTTAAGTTACCTCTAATGTCTACTAAACTTAACTAAAGTATACATACAAAAATAGAATGAAGTAAAAGGATGAGGTTGAGAACAAAGTCGCAACTACAATATGAGTATACTGATTGTCAGCACATAGTTTTAGTTTATAATTGTTTATCAGTATATAATTTCCTATCCGAATTTTTAATATGAAGACTTTTGAGAAATAAATCTGGAGGCTGTATAACTAAAATCCAGAAACAAAATCAGAAGAAAACTAAATTTCTCAAAAACATAGTCCCGCGAAGGAGAAACTAAGGCTCTAACTGGTAAAGTTCTTAAGGAATGAAATTTATGAACAAACTAAGGCTCAAACTGGTAAAATTATTTTTTCTATTATTAGTTGTTGTTCTAGTATGGAAAAATAACTAAGGTTCCATACTAGAACAATAACTAATAATACGAAAAAGACCTAAACAAAATTTGAACCAAAATCAATAATCAATCCCGCACACAAACCTAGCTCGCATAAACCCTTGAAAATCTAATAGCGCCACCACTAGCCAAAGCAAATGGCACTGAAATCATGATATGGTGAACGTGTATTACTTCTTAGAAAAAATGTTGATTGGCTTCTTATTCCGACAAATCAGAACAAACATGCTTTCCCACAATCTTCCGAAAACTGTGAAGTTGGTATGGATGTGACCTAGTAAAACGCCTCAACAAGGTCTAATGAACTGTCAGCATTTGAACAGATCAACTGATGAGTAATTTGACAAGGAGTAAAGATAGGACCAACTAGATATATCATTGCTATCACACCAAGAGCTACAACATAAAAAATCCAGTTTAAAATCAAGAGGCTAGAATCAGGAAAAAAAGACCCTTAGAACAGAAAATAAAATTAAGGCAATCAGACCAGTAAAGACTTGCACCAAAAAGAGACATACCCAAGACAAGGACGAAGTAACATGTTGAGGAAGGAATCTAAATCACCAAGCCAAATTTCAAAACAAAGATACGAGAAAAGAACAAGGCTTTAAGCATTTGTACTGACTAAAGCAAAGCCCATCACTGAGGGACACGGCGAGCCCACAAAACCACCCAACGTCGTAGAGAAACGACACCCAATTATGACGAGAGAAGGCAGTTGGTGAACAAGTCGGAGTGATGTAGATGAAGCCTTTGCAATTTTGATGTTAGGGAGTCCGACGCATTGTCGACCTAGCCACTCTGAGCTGAATCCCCAAACCAAATTTCGAACTAGACCTCAAATCCTCGATCTAAACCATGAAAAGTGGTTGTATGACCCAAAGACGAAGCGCGATGATTCAAGCGGCTAAGGCGAACCTTACTAAATCTTCTTTGTATATCAAAAAAAGCTAAAAATTTGTAGAAGTTAGATCATATATTCATATACAACAAACTTAACCAATCTTTCCAAAAGAGGAAGCTATAATAATAGGCTTAGCAAACGTAGACAAATAGCAAAAGATATCATCATAAGCTACAATCACTTCGTGTCATTCGCCGCATTCTCTCTATACGGATGATTCTCTAGCGACTTGCTCGAATTGCTTCCCAGCTTCATCTTCCTTCTTCATAAACGAATCCACAAATCCTAAAATCTTCTGGATCATCCTTCACCACTTCGAATCGCTTCGTTGATCCTCTTCTCTAACTCTGTTAATTTGTCTTTAGAGTTACGTTGTAATATTCCATCACCAAGTAATGATAAGCATCGATTCGATTCGGGTCCTTTACCAGAATCTCCTCGAAAAGCTTTGATTGCAGATTCGCTTTGGCAATTGTAAGACAGAATCCGAGCCTTCATAACCAGCCATTGTTGTTCTTTTGGATCGATTTCGATTATACGGTTTAGAATCTCAATCGCTTGTTCGAATCGAATTTGATTTTCGTTAGAGATAACAAAGCTTCCCACATCGTTCGATTGTGTCTCGAGCGTTGCTTCTTCTACAGAGATGGTGACCACTGGAGTTGTTGCGGAGGGTTTAGAGACGAGGTATAAGGACGAGGCTACGAATAGAGCTGCGGCTGCGGTGAGAGTGATGAAGGTTGTTTTGAGAAGTGAAGGTTTCGGATTCGGTGGTGATGAAGCTTTGATGATCGGGAATCTGACCGGGGTTGGGTTCGTTTGGTTTCTGGAGATGATCGATCGTCATTGATATGGAAGTGAAATGTAGGTTTCGAACATCGGAAATTCGCCGGAGACGCCATTGTTGCTTTGCTCTGCTTGTGATAGAAACAAACAAAGTAAGTCAACGGT